CGAAGGTGTCTCCTGTAAAAAAATACCTCGAAAAGAGTTCCGTGAAGTCTAATAAGTAAACGATAGCCCTACAATTCTCGTAAGGTACCTATATTGTTGTTTCACATAGAGCTCGGCCAAAGAGTTTGATGGATGGGGTGGAAAATTACCGAGTATACTTGGACTTTACTCGTCTTATACCCGGGGAAATTACATTCAATAGCATAGTATGACATAGCCCTTCTTTTCCTTTTAGTAATTCTATTGTCTCGCGAATCTCGATATAAAATCGTCCGAAACTTTACAAGGACTACCCTTGTCACCCTACCAAGTGTTTTTTCGACAATCAATTACCCCTATAATGTCGTTTTGAGAAACGTCTTTCTTTTTTGGTGGTAGCCTATTGTCCGGAAAAGTGTACTTTTGGAAAATAAAAGTTATACTTATAGTGAGTAGTCACCTCGAAGAGAATGGTGTAAACCTTTGTGGTTAATATGCGTGAAGTCTCTTATTACTAGATTAAATTTACTCCAGTCAGGAAAATTGTGTGTGTGTGTGCGTGGTGTGTGTGTGTGTTGTGTGTGTGTGTGTGTGTGTGTGTGTGTGTGTGGTGTGTGTGTTGTGTGTTGTGTGTGTGTGTGTGTGTGTGTCGGTGTGTGTGTGTGTGTGTGTGTGTGTGTGTGTGTGTGTGTGTGTGTGTGTGGTGTGTGGTGTGTGTGTGTGTGTGTGTGTGTGTGTGTGTGTGTTCGACATCTAACCGTGGTTATGAGGGTGTAGCGAGCTAAAATTATCATAATCGTCTCTGTGTGACGCAAACTCGGAAATCCGTCTCGTCGCCGACAGACAAATGTACAATTACTGGACTACTGAGCGTTGTCTGTTGACTCTAGGTCAATCCTACCGTAGTGCACTCCTTCTCCTCCCCTTATACATCGCTCCGTTCTCCTTCCCGCCCTCTTCACTAATTCCCTTCGTACCTCCCTCCTTTATTACTCTTTTTCCCGTTGTGACTTAAATTTAAAAGATAAACGAAAAGATTTCAGACAAAGACTAAAATCTGCGCGTCTCGTCCAGCCGAAGGCTCGTAAATCTCCTCACAGCCACCTCAAACAATTATAAGAACGCGGGTGCATTCAATCAAATCTCTGCAGACACTGATTTCCTACTAGAAGTCAAATTACCTTGACCCTAAGTATATGTAAACTTCTGTAGTGATCTCCCTTTTATTGCCATGTAGAAAAAGTAAAAAATTTACTCCAAAGGAGGGGGTCTTTGTCCTCGCCCCACTTAGTTTTTGGCACCGTCTCTAATCTCTATTACTGGGTGTGAACCCTGCTTTTAATGCCAGAGCCTATATTGGCATCCCATAAAATGGTGGTCCGTCGATAATACGTCTCGGTATTGTGATTTGGGATTTCTCTTCATTTGTACAAATACCGCCCGTGAGTGTAATGATGTTTTTCACTGAATCCATTCGTAAAAAGATTTTGTCTTCTGTTGTTACACACTTTGTACTCATTTGTTTATGTTTCGTACGTAGGTCTGTTTCGTGGAAACAATTAAGTGATTATAACAGCCTCTACATCACACGTCGTCGCCCGTGTGTCTGTAGTTGTCACCCGAACTCGGGGACGGGGAAAAAGAAGTAGGTCTCTTTCACCGGAACATACTTATTTTATGCATACGATGACGACAAACGCGTTGTCAAAGGCGAAAGGTTTATATATAACTAACTACTCGTTTTATTTTGTATAGTCCAGCCCTCTGACATCTGCGACACTCAAGGGCTACGAGCGAGATAGTAGGGGGGAGGGAGCGGGAGGAGTGCCTTTTTTTTCTTTTTTGCGCAGAGCGCGTTTCGTCACGCCTAGTGCCGTCAGGAAGCCTGTCTGTGTCCATCCGTCGTGGAGGGTGACGCGGAAGTCTGTCTGTCCATCCCGTGCGGTGGAGGATCGAAATGTCAGTGAAGTCTGTCTGTCCATTCGTTCGTGGAGGTGGTAATGTAGGTAGTCTGTCTGTCCATCGTGGAGGGGAAAATGTCAGGGAAGTCTGTCTCGTCCATCGTCGTGGAGGGTGAAAATGTCAGGGAAGTCTTGTCGTGCGTCCATCCGTCGGTCGGAGGGTGAAATGTCAGGGAAGTCTGCTGTCCATCGTCGGTGAGGGTGGAATGTCAGTCGAAGTCTTGTCTGTCCATCCTCGTGGAAGGTGCGAAATGTCAGCGGAAGTTGTCTGTTCCATGCGTCGTGAAGGGTGGCATGATGCAGTCGAAGTCTCTCTGGCCATCGTGTGGAGCGGTGGCAAATGTCAGGGAAGTCTGTCTGTCCACGCTGGAAGGTGGAAATTGTCAGGGTAGTCTCTCGTCCATCGGTGGGGAGGGGGAGCAATGTCAGGAAGTCTGTCTGTCGCATCGTCGTGGAGGGTGAAATGTCAGGGAAGTCTGTCTGTCCATCGTCGTGGAGCGGCTTTTTTTTTTTTTTTGAAATGTCAGGGGAAGTCTGTCTGCTCCATCGTCGTGGAGGTCGAATGTCAGGGTAGTCTGTCTGTCGCATCGTGGAGGGGAGAATGTCAGGAAGTCTGTCTGTGCCATGTGGGAGGGTGAGATGTCAGGGAAGAGTCTAGGTTCTGTCCATCGTGCGAGGGTGGAATTGTCAGGGAAGTCTGTCTCGTCCATCGTCGTGGAGTGTGAAATGTCAGGGAAGTCTGTCTGTCCATGTCGTGGAGGGTGGGTAAAAAGCACGACCAATCATCTGAGCCGGTCCGGCTAAAATAACTGGATGGCCTACCTGCCTGTCAGCCTTTCATCTGTGCACAAACTTATCTCGTGCCCTCATTGGTCATGTGCGTGTTCGTGTGTGTTGGAGGACGGGCTCTGTAAGGAAGTAGCAGATTTCTTCCGGCTGTGCATTTTCAAATTCTAGCGCACTCAAACTGGTTTCTCTAAAATGACCTACCCCACCTTTAAGTGTCTCTTCTGGGATATGTCTCCATGCTTTAATGTTCAAAAAGCTCTTAATTGTTCTCATACTGCCTGTGCTGCAGCACCTCTTTTCAACCTCTGTCTGAAATCAGAGTCCAGTCTGCTCTGATTGGTTAGCTGGCCGACTCTGTTGTGATTGGTCAACCACTTAGATATTTCCCGTCCCTTAGCCTATCACGTACAATGTGTTGGAGCGCTAGCCAATAGACGCGCGAGTGTTACATAGTGATGCCATTATGTGACCATTTGCAACATAAGGACAGATATTAAGACACGATACCAGGAAACAGACAAAGGCACAATGTGGGGGTTTCTGTGTTCAATTGATCCTTAATTATAGTTTCCTTCATGTCTCTTTCCCTCCAGGGCAACCTGCCGAAATACTCCCACAATGCCCTGGTGGTGCAGGCGATGAAGACCAACCTGACGGACCCCGACATGCACGTGCTGTTCTTCGACGTGGAGGCGGTGATCATCCAGCTGCTGACGGAGGAGGCGCAGAGACCCAGCCCCACCCTGGTGTCTCCAGAGACGCTGCAGAAGAGCCAGGCCGGGGCCGACAAGGGGGGGTCCTTCCTGGCCAACAAGATCTTCAAACAGGTCAGTCAACGCAGAAGGGGAAAAAGCAGAAAATCTGTTCTTAACATTAAAATGAGTTTTGTTGCTTTCTTTTCTCATTTTTTGTGTTTTTCGTTCTGTATAAATAGTCTGTGAAACTGTAGTCTCATTGGTTATATGCTTATACTTTGCTTTCCTTTGCTAAATGATAGCACGTTGCAACTTTAAGTTGTAACGTAAAACCTTGGTTATGCACTTTAGAATAAATATATAGTAGTACAAAAAATCTGCATGTTTTAAAACGGAAATTAAAGGTTTTAAAGCTTAATTGTTTCAAAATATAATGTGATAGCATTTATCGCAACTTCAAGCCACTTTTAATACTATTCCAATTTTCAGTACTGTAAAAAGTTCAACTTGTGTGAACCCATCTTAGTTTTGAACTGGAAATTAAAGGTTTTAAAGCTTAATATTATGTCTCTCTGTTGAAATTAACCTGTCTCCTGTTCATATCAGGTGAAGGAAACGATGAAGGAGACCATCAAGGAGCACCTGCTGGACGAAGACGAGGAGGAAGAGGAGGAGATGAGGAGGCGGGAGGAGAAGTCCAAGTCTCTCAGCCTGCTGGAGTACAACCTGACGATGGACACGGCCAAACTGTTCATGTCCTGCCTGCACGCCTGGGGTCTGAACGAGAAGCTGGACGGCATCTGCCTGGAGCGGCTGGGCATGCTCAGACCGCACTGCCCCATCTCCTTCGGCCTGATCTCCAGAGGAGGTCACATGTCCCTCATGCTGCCCACCTTCAAGGTACTGAGGGGTCTCACCTGGGTGCTGTGTGTGTCACTCTCTAATCAGACGGAAACTGACCTATGACAGAAAATGGAAAAACAATCCTGTATGAGCCTCATAACTATGACAAGATGCCAAAGTAGAAATATATATGTTGGAACATTTTTAAATAACTAGCAAGTTATATAAAACAAATATATTAAATGTAGCATATAACAATATCAATAACATTACATTTCATTTTATCCAAAGCGACTTACAATAAGTGCATTCGACCAAGAAGATACAAACTAAATAACAATTCAGATTGTGTTATATATCTTCCCATTATCGTCAGAAACAGATTTATTCATCCCGGGGAAAAGGCCCCATGTCATGGCCATTTCTACTGATCATAATTCCATTGTTGAGTTATACTAAAATATATTTCCAAACTCACACTGGTTTTCTCAAACAGCATCTCTGTATAGTATGTGTATTCACTCTCTGTCCTAAAGGACTTGTTGGAGCTCCTGCCCCCCCTCCCTGTGAGCCCAGTGGCCGTCAGCGAGACAGCGAGACACAGCGAAACCCAGCCCGAAACACACACACACCCGCAGCCTGGCTGGGAGTTTGTGTGTGTGCTCAGACTGAGTTCCGCGGTGTCTCTCAGTCTCACCGACCCCACACCAGTGAGCCAGCTCACAGTGTCCCGCTCCTCGCAGCAGCGAGCCTCGCAACGTCCCGCCGAGCGTGTGTGAGGAAGTCCGCGGATTGGTCCAAACGTAACGGCTACAAATGGACCAATCTGCGGAGCTGTTACGTTACTTTACGTCGCTATACCCAAAATACGTCACTATACCCAAGAAGTAAACAATGGAAAAAGAGAAATGTCCAACGAGGCGTTCTGGGGCAGCATAGACAGGTCTTCTCTGTGTTAGAGTTTTACTCCCTACAGGGTGTACTTTGAGGGTTTGTGACCGTTTACATGCAGAAAAAGCTACATAACACACAAGGGGACGGGTAATAACCAGAAAAGCATGACATGGGCCCTTTTTAAAAAGACCGGTGTCAGTCTATTGTTTCAAAGAGCCTCCCTCCATATAAAGATCATATCTTACTTATTATCCCGAAGCAAAGATAAGAAAACTTTGCACTCTTTGTCGTCTCAGTTCTGTGCAATGAGAAGGAAGTAGAATCCAGTCTCAACCTAAGTGATAGTCTTCTGCAACATTATGGAGCAGAACGTTTTCACCAGTGAATAAAGACAACATAGATCATGTTTCAAATGAAGTATAAAAAATGTTTTCACTCTTCTAATATCGTTGAGATGAGAGCAGAAGGCAAACACAGTCCAGACAGACTCTGAGCAACACACACAAGTATCAAACACACACTCCTGTTGACCCTTCGTAGCACTTCCCTGGTTCATCCGTCTGCCTCTGTTTCCCAGGAGTCTCTGCTGCGACAGTTGTCCCTGGCGACGGGTCTGAAGCTGACTCTGACGGACATCGTGGGGAAGGGGACGTACGGCGTGTCGAGAGCCGTCACCACGCAGCACCTGCTGTCCGTCATCTCTCTGGCCAACACTCTGATGGGCATGACCAACGCCACCTTTGTGGGAGAACACATGAAGAAAGCCCCCGTCAGGTAACTATTTCCGTTGACTCCGTTAAAAGCAAACTCAAAACACATCTCTTCGCATCTGTCTTCCTTGTCAACTCATTTCCATCACCTAGTTTCGGCTCATCATACTTTTATCCCATGGCAATACTAATGTCGAGGTATAAGGTTGTATAATGTTTTTTTAATTGTTATGCTATGACGTTTAATTCATCACACACACACACACACACACACACACACACACACACACACACACACACACACACACACACACACACACACACACACACACACAGGCTGATTGTTTAGTCTGTCTGAGCTCTCATTGTGCTGTGAAAGATTTAACATGGAGGTCCTGCTGCTGTAACACCGACACAACATTTCATTATTTCGTCAATCCTTCACAGCATACCTGCAGGGAGGGCGAGAGAGAGAGAGAGAAAGAGAGAAACACAGAGAGAAACACAGAGAGAGATGTGTAAAGAAACACCGGGTGGACTGGTTGTTTTGTTCAGCTTATTCTACTCGTGTTATTTTGTTATCTTTGTGTTTAATCATCTTCACTTAATAAGGTAACATTAGAACATCTGAAATAGTCTTTCACTGTTTTCAATATCCTCTTATACCTTTAATTTACTTGAGATGAAAATAAATGATGCCTCTCAGTGGAGTGTTTTCCTATGTTAGTGAGTAGCTAGCCTGACATAGCACAACCAAGTCGCTAATTGCAATTAATACAATTAGGAACCAATCCGTTATATTTCTTTTTTCAAAGGACTAAGACCATAAGGCCTCTTGAAGCAATTGGACATATCTAAAAACAAATAGAGTTGTACAAGAATGAGTTAGCATTATGCCAAGTCAACGTTTTTGAGCATGCTTTTGGTTTGACGCCTGCAATTATTCTAAAATCCAATCGAAAAATCTCATTGCTCTTTGTTGTGCAAGCTCTGGATTCAGGGTCTGCCTGCAAAAGTACTTTAAAGTTATATTAATCACCCGACATTGAAGACCTTTGTTAATTATGCCTAGATAGGGTGTCCGCGGGGTCTTAAAAGTTGATAAATCAATTTAGCGAAAATGAAGGCTATTAAAAAGTATTAACGGCATTTTCCAAGGTATTACATTTTGTAGCTTGTTTTCAATAAGTATATAAATTGTCCAAAGAGGTTGTATTCTACAGTCTGCCTGAATGTAATCACTGCGTAGGTGTGTAGTGTGATTCTGTGTAGTTTATTTATGGCATCCCGTTGGGTTTGACGTCATCTGAACAGGACATCGCACGCTCACTGCTTGATAGCACGCGAAGGTCCATTTACGCCGGTTGTTAAACAACATCGTTATGGGGAAATGCAAGTCTGCGTCCAAATGGTTGGAAGATAAGGAGGAAGGCAATCAATACCGTATATAGTAAATGTGAGGTCGCCAAGGTAACCGGTTAGAACTCAAAGTGGCGATGAGGTCTTAAAAGGTATTACATTTGACTTCAGGATTCCTGCATATACCCTGCTGGACCTAAAAGAGGGCTGCATTTTCCCCTAAATGTAAAGTATCTTAACGCCCATCGGCTTCCGTGAAAATACCAAATGCCACGAATTCGCTTTATACCTCATTCCCATCAACCCATTGACTTTGTTTATCATTTAGCCACGCAATGATTGAAGGCTTGTTACCTGATGAAACTCTTGCTTCTCAAGACAATAAGAATCGCGCAACCTTGACGTTTCCTATTTTAAAAAGTGACACTCAACACCAACTTTGTTGAGATCTTTCATCATATTTGACTGTCTCGTTAATAAGTCAGAAATGATGAGAAAAATACAAGTTGCAAACAAATCTGATAAAGCAGACTGAGCTGATATCCAAGAAAGAAATGGGACCAGAAACAAAGAGGCCAGGAAAACTTTAAAAGCTGTTCATTACTTCCTCAGAAGAACTTCTCCTCTTTCCAAATCAGCGCAGGTGATGGAGCAGCTACAGATGGAGAAAGACTTCCTAATAAAACTCAAACCGGTCTTCTCTATAGCCGTCCAAACCCTAGCTCTCAATATTTGAACGTGTTTGGGGTTTTGGCTTTTTCATGTTCCCCATCTCACATTTATGACGGCAGGAAAGTTTCTTCCCCTCTATGCTGGAGTTTGAAAAGAAACGCTCCTGAACTCTTAGTGTTTTAGTATTTCATCAGAACACGACAGCACTCCCTCCCCCAGCTCTGACTGAGGCTTGAGTTATTCGTGAAGCCCCTGAAGTCCTGCTGTTGATGAAACTAAAACATCAGAAGTCCAACTCGAAAAATTCAGCTACCTGTCGACATCTATTGAAGCTACTTCTTCAACAAGTCATACAAAGCTCTTTTTTCCTAAGTATATTATTAAAAGCATTTCCGCTCAATGTCCAATCACACCTGAGGCACATTTCAACGCTTAGTACTGATTTTTAAAGAGGGTTTTGATGGGAATTTAATCAACTATGGTTTATTTATTTTATACTAAGATGAGATGAATTATTTAATAACAGCCCCCCAAAAACATTCCAGCTTGTACACCTTTATGAGATGCACATACTAAGGGTTTTATGCATGTAAATGTTCTGCAAAAGCTAAAATCCCTGTGTCTCCCCCCCCCCTCATTGGATCCTTGTTTTACCTCTGCGTAACATAGTGAATCACTATGTTACATGTGTGCGATCTATTGGGCCAGCCGCTCCAACATATTGTCCGTGGTTTGTCTAAGGGGCGAGGACATCTGCTAAAGCGGTTTGACCAATCACACAGAGTCCGGCTCCAGCTAACCAATCAGAGCAGACTGGCTCTGGTTCGGACGAGGGTGAAAAGAGCGTGCTGCAGCACAGGCAGAATGAGAAGGCACTACATTCT